CTAGTTTGTAGCCGAAGTAAAGACCTTTCAGTCTTTGTCTTTAAGTATCTTTTGCTTAATCTATCTCCCCTGAAAATTCTTCTCATATATGGTGGAAACGACCATACAAAAATAAACGCTAGCACATTCGGTGACGTATGCACAATGGTTACGTCATCACTTGAAATGCTGAAGATGTGCATAAAAACAAGGGCATAAAACAATGAAAATGGTAACAATTGTAAGAAGATGTCTGCAAGACTTTCAGAGAATGGATAAACCTCTTTACGAATTCTTTCATAGATTTTTACCGGAAGTAGTTTTGGATCCATTGTCGTACTTGCACGTGTTAACATTCGTAACTCAGCATTTATACATTCAAATATTATCACCAAAATTTGTTTATGTTTATTGGTAATATATTTGTATATATAACGAATCTCGCGAAGTAACACAGCAACGGTAAGTAAATAAGGCGCATAGTAACCAATGTTGTGGGTCAGTCCAATAGTTGTAAAAACAATAATATGTAACAGGGTAATAACTGGGCTGGTAACATATGTAACATATAGAAGATATGTACCGAATAGATAACAAATATTTAACAGTATCCAAATGAAAAGGACAAGTCCTCTGAGGATTTCAAGCACACGACCTTCAATTTTACAACAAACCATGTTGGCAACTTTGAAGAATAGAAATAGAAGTCCTTGGAAAAAAGGACCAGTCATTATAGTGCACTGCAAAACCAAGTTTATTGTGTTAATAATTAAGATCATCGGCCAACCAATTAAAACAAGTTCTATTTTTCTTAAGAACGAGCAAGAGTCTTCTGCTTCCCACGAACGTTTGAAAACAAACCTCCACGTGCTGACCTTTACCAAAGAAAGAAATCTTTTGAAGTAAAGATAAGCAAAGTTTGTCCATAAGTAATGCGAGTCCAAAAAGATATCATTAGAATCAACTACGGACATAAAATAGACATGTGTCAAATTTTTGAAGATCCGAGTTTCCCGTGATCCGTTTGATTTATAGGAAAGAACGAAGATACATTTTAAAAATTTGTTTCCTTCTTCATTTGATGACATTCTGTACGATGCACAAAGAGCAAGCCAACTGCATAAAAAGAATAATACAACAAAATCAATAAATAGCATTTGAGATACCGTTTTGATTGAAAGTTGTACTTCACAAGACTCGAGCAAGTCTACGTCGGTAAAGTTGACGCAAAATTGATAGGAACCCAGCCATAGTAAAACTATTAACATAATGATTGATGTCAATCTCATGAGTTTAAATCTAAAAACTTGCATGAAAACACGCCTCAACGAGAAAGGTATTTCATCCACTGTATAGTACAAATGTGGATTATTTTCTGGTGATGAAGTAACTGTTGGAAGCAGAAAGCCTAAAAGTGGATATAAGAAAATTAAAATCATTGAAGCAAAAACTGAAATTATCAGACTGTAAGAGGACTCCTGTACAAATGTTTCTGTTGAAAATGTTGAATTTCCGAACGCTAGACAATCATATTTATACATTTCGTTTGTGTAAAACGGAGGGTAAAATATAAACGCTTGATTTTGGTCATTTGTTTGAACATCGATAAAACATATCCGTAGACTTTTGTCCGCATATTGTTTTTCAACAGTTGAAAACACATCTAATAGAAGATACTTAATAGACAACTGTATACCTTTGATAGTTGAATGACAGTGTGTGTCTAAAAAATGTTCTACTAATACAGTAAGATATACAGTTCTTATATTTTGTGAAAGTGTTCCTAAAGAAAGGTACTCTACGTGCTTTGGATATCTAAGTAGTTTTATTCCAGATGAGCTCGCAAGGAAGTAGTACGTTAATTTGTCCCATATTGTTTCGTCGGTTACATTATACAAAGGAATGTCCATATCATCCAGAAAGACATTTTCCTGGTTGAATGAAACATCAAATATCACCATGTCAACTTCACCCAAATACAAAGTTTTTTTTTAACGTCTCACGACGGAAAAGGTCTCCTCAGTTATGTTACTCTGGACGTCAAACACACACGTGTTGTTGTTGTGACATAGAACCATCGGTACCGTTAAGCACAGAAAAGTCACCATATATCCTAAACTATCCGCCATTTTTCTTTCTGAAAAAAAAATGTAAATCAGTATTTCATTTTATTTTATTTGTACTCTCTTTAAGGAAATGACCATTCTTACGGGCACTATATAGAACTGAAAAATTGACAACATCAACACATAACAAAAACGATCAGAATAGAGTTGGGATTCAAAGAGACACTTAACCAGGAATAGGTAAGATTTATGCCTGAAATGACACCTGTATGCAAAATGTAAACAAACTTTACGGTACAGATATCGAGTTAGTCCAGTTTTTCTGAACTTAAGCTAGGGTGTTAGAATGACTCTTATTTAGAAATGGGAAACCTTTAAATTATCTACAATGTCACCCTTTTGAAAAACGTTTTCCACTAATTATTGTTAAGAAACCACTAATAACATTCAGCGTACAATCCGCACACGCAAATTGATTGTTTCTACTTTGTGAAATATATATATACATGTATAAAAAAGTTACCATACCCAGCCCATTTTGATACATTCTTGTGCCTAATTAAAAACTCCCTGAAATTTAACAAAATGAGGAACTGTTTTCGAAGTTTCCTTTATTTTTTTCAAAAGTCTATTGGTTGAACTTGCAAAATATTAAATACTTTACCGTGTAGTAATGTAATAGAAAGAGAATCGAAATACGAGGCTATCTGATTTGTACGAGGGGAGTAGCCCCCAGTATTAATCAGATTGCCGAGTGTTTTGATGTTCTTTCTCTTTTTGTATCATAAAAACACTTTCCCTGTTGTCACAGTATGAAACCCCAGAAAAAAGTAACCAACGAGCATCTGAATATGTTATTTCTATCGCTTTCCCTTTATCTGCCGTCCCAATAAGTAAACCCCAGCAAAAATAAGCCAATCAATGGGTATGCTCTGGAGTGCGGGTAAATAATACTTGTACTTCAGTTAACGCACTGTGCATGTATATGTATACGATTTAACTCTCACACATTTCAACAGAAAGGTCCCCAAACTTTGATACAACAGATATTAAACAATAACTGACTCTTACAGGATAAGTGTTACACAACGCAAAGTTACCGGTGCTATATTATTTTACAATACCTCTTTCTTAATGGGGGAAACCTTTAAAATTTTTTAAACAAAAATTTTTAAATATTGGCAATCTAAAAAAAATTTTAAGGATATTTCTACAAAAAAATTTAAAAGTTTAAATTTAAAAAAAAAATGTTAAGGAGGTTTTAAACCCTTTTTTTTTATTTCCCAAAATTTTTTAATTCTTTTAAATCATTTTTTCAAAATTCTAACGCCATTTTTTATCTTTACATTTTAAATTGTAAAAAAAAAAACTTTTATAAGTACGGTTTAGTTTGGTGATTTACTTTTCCCATTTGAAAAACGTAAAAAAAAGTTGGGGAACAAAATATTTACTTAACCAAACTTTGTATATGTTTTAAAAATTTAAATTTCTTAAAAACCCGTTTTTTTTTTTTTTAGCTCCCCAAAAATTAAAATTTTAAGTCTTTTTTATAGTAATGCAAACTTTTTTTATTTTTGTACCCAAAAAAGGGGATTTAAAACCCATTTTTTTAAAATAAAATGTTTTATTAAGTCTAAGCGAAAACGTAGAAATAACATTTGCAGTTTAACCAGGCTCAATCAAACCGAGCCTGCAACATTTTCAATTTTGTTGTATTGGACTTTCTTTAGGGATTCTGTTTTTCTCTATTTTACTTCGGCTGAGAATCTTTTTTATTTTTTTTTAAAGATACAACTTGTTTCGATTCATTTACTTCTCACATAATGGTTTGAACCGATCAACGAGTTCTGTCAAATGTGGAACACACCCTAGCTAACAAAAGGAACTTTTCGGAAACCCCCCCCAACCCCACCCCCCCGCCCAATAAAACCTTTTTTAAAATGTTTTTTTTTACAGGAAACATTTGGACCCCGGAAATTGTGTTGTTTCATAGGGTTTTGCGCATCTTCATTACCGTCTTCCTTTATTTATATCAAGGGGACATTTAAATATAAAGTATGTACTGAATGTTTACTGAACTATTCATACTGACCTTGACCGTCGTTTTGTGATAAAATTGTAGTAAACTTGGTAGATATGCTTATGCATACTAATATAAAAACATATTATTATTATATAAAGAAGGAAGTGTAAAATGATATAAGATATGATATTTCAATTATAATACAAAATGTCTTATTTTGTTCATATAACATTAAAAATGTACATAACAATAAGTCAATTATCATTTTCATTAAAACATATCGAGTTTATTATCTGAAACAGTTTAGTGATAATAAATTGTGAAATTCTTTATATACGGCTATATCCAAAGCAGAGGTTTCAAAAAGTGTCTTATTAAGTCTGTAAGAAGACACGTTTAGATAACTGTTACTTATTGCAGCTAAAATATACAGACACGTTTAGAAAACTGTTACTTATTGCAGCTAAAATATACGGATTCCGGCGTTGGTTAATTAAATAATGGTTCTGGCTTCCAAAACTTTTTAGGCCGTTTTTTAAACATTTTTTGTTTTGTCTGATGCGATGTTAAACACGACCTGTCACGGTATAAACCGGATACGCTGAAGACCTTAAGCTAGATAAATGGCACCTAAACAAAATATTTAAAAGATGTAATTCTTTGACAAATAAATAAATAAATAACACACGCACATAGGCACACGCGCACTAACGGCGCACATACACACTCTGTATTGTTATACATTATGACAAAAATTTCATTGCATTGTGTTTTGCAATACGGGTTGACTATATCGAAATGTATCACAATACGGGCTCACAATAAACGTTTGCATAAATTTACGCGTTTGCATCGTTAACACGTTTCATAATACAGGTATGACCTTCACATAGCTGATGCTACATATTTATACCTTACAATAATAACATAACAAAATTATATGTGGTTTATTTGCTATGCAGTAGTCGGTACCTGTATAAATTTTCTCTTTTGTGTTACACAATCATAAATGTTCTTATGCCACTGAAAAGTATTGCACATGTATTTTATATTAATAGAGCATAGCTGTTAATTTAAGAACAAATAGAAGTGTTTAAGTTGGAGAAGACGAGTTTTTCAATTACAAATCCGCAACAAAGGAATTATTAAAGGATATACAAAAGTTGCCACAGGTAAATATTTAAGATTTTTTTAAGGAACCTCTTAACAGACATCAGAATGATAAATCAGTTAAAATTTTATTTTATTAGTCTTTAGATTGAATGTCTTATGTTTTTAATGTAGGTCTGGTCTTTCTTATATGCCTTGTATGTGTATATATAAGAATCGTTTACTCCATTTATGTTGTTTTTTTATTGTTTTTTTTTTTTTGTTTTTTTAAATAGGGCTGATCTTCTATTTATTGGTTGTCTTTATAAAGGTATCGTCTTCTTCATGTAAATCTTGTTTTTTTAAATAGGGCTAATCTTCTATTTATTGGTTGTCTTTATGAAAGCATCGTAAATCCCGTCCTTTTTTTAAAAAATAGGGTTGATCTTTCTGATGTAATTCTCGTTTTTGAATAAAAATCTTATTTTTTCGTGTAAGTCTTGTCTATTTCATTAAATCTAGTCTATCCCATTTATGACGGGTCGTTTATGTAGGTGTCGTTTATTTCATGTAGGTATAAGTTTCGTCTGTTTCATGTATGTCTCATTTTTTCATGTATGTCTGACCTTAATGTAGATCTCACCTTTTATAAAGGTATCGTCATTTTTCATGTAGGTCTCTGTTTATATAGTTTCTCGTTTATGTATGTAGGTCCAGTGTTTTTGTTCATAGTATGTCTCGATTTTTTTCTTGTCTTTTTATGAAGGTCTCGATTTTTTCCCTGTAGGTTTAGCCTATCTCATAGTAGTGTATTACTGTGATCATTTGTGCCAAGTTTGAAATTGTTTTTTAAACTTTTAAACTTTTAATCAGTTTTTAAGTTATCGATTTGACCAATTAGTGGTGACCTTGACCTTGTGGTAGCGGTCTGATTTTGCTCTCTGTATATTTTAAAAAACGTTTTCATTAGTTTATAAGTTAGAGAGCGAGTGGCATTAATAACGGAAAGTGAAGTCACATAAACAGCTAAACAGTTTAATTCATGTTTCATCCCGAGATCTCTGCATAATTTATAACTTTAAAACAGAAAAAAATTTTTTGCAGAATCATAAAAACAGGGGGAATTTTTTCACCTAAAAAATTGGGAAAATTTATAACCCTTTCGCCATCCTTTTAATTTTTTTTTAAGTTTGGACATGCCCTTTTTTAAAGCAAATTTTTGTTTTTAAAAAAAAATGGAAGATATGGGGTTAATCGAATCCCTTTGAAAAAACCCTCCCTTACTAAAAAAAAATTTGGGATAAAAAACCAATCAAATAACATAAAATGGGCATTATTGTACTTTAAAAAAAAAAATCTATTTCCTAAAACTTTAGAGCAAAAATGAAATCAATTTTTTTAATTTTAAATTTTGAAAATATAAAAAAATTTTTCCTGCCTCCCCAAAAATTTATTTTTTTTAAATATTCAGCAAAAAGGGATATTTTTTCTTTTTTTCAGTAAAATGATATATTTCTATATTTCAGCACAATGAATATATTTCTATTTTTCAGCACAATGGATATATTTCAGCACAATGGATATATTTCTATATGTCAGCACAATGGATATATTTCTATTTTTCAGCACAATGGATATATTTCTATATTTCAGCACAATGGATATATTTCTATATTTCAGAACAATGGATATATTTCTATATTTCAGAACAATGCATGTATTTCTTTATTTTAGCACAATGGATATATTTCTATATGTCAGCACAATTGATATAATTCTATATTTCAGCACAATGGATATATTTCTATATTTCAGCACAATTGATATATTTCTATATTTCAGCACAATGAATATATTTCTATTTTTCAGCACAATGGATATATTTCAGCACAATGGATATATTTCTATATTTCAGCACAATGGATATATTTCTATATTTCAGTACAATGGATATATTTCTATATTTCAGCACAATGGATATATTTCTATATTTCAGCACAATGGATATATTTCTATATTTCAGAACAATGCATGTATTTCTTTATTTTAGCACAATGGATATATTTCTATATGTCAGCACAATTGATATATTTCTATATTTCAGCACAATGGATATATTTCTATATATTTCAGCACAATTGATATATTTCTATATTTCAGCACAATGGATATATTTCTATATTTCAACACAATGGATATATTTCTATATGTCAGCACAATGGATATATTTCTATTTTCCAGCACAATGGATATATTTCAGCACAATGGATATATTTCTATATGTCAGCACAATGGATATATTTCTATATTTCAGCACAATGGATATATTTCTATATTTCAACACAATGGATATATTTCTATATTTCAGCAAAATGGATATACTTCTATATATCAGCACAATGGATATATTTCTATATTTCAGCACAATGGATATATTTCAGCACAATGGATATATTTCTATATTTCAACACAGTGGATATATTTCTATATGTCAGCACAATGGATATATTTCTATTTTCAAGCACAATGGATATATTTTACCACAATGGATATATTTCTATATTTCAGCACAATGGATATATTTCTATATTTCAGCACAATGGATATACTTCTATATATTTCAGCACAACTGATATATTTCTATATTTCAGCACAATGTATATGTTTCTATATTTCAGCACAATGGATATATTTCAGCACAATGGATATATTTCTATATTTCAGCACAATGGATATATTTCTATATTTCAGCACAATGGATATATTTCTATATTTCAGCACAATGGATATACTTCTATATATTTCAGCACAACTGATATATTTCTATATTTCAGCACAATGTATATGTTTCTACATTTCAGCACAATGGATATATTTCTATATTTCAGCACAATGGATATATTTCTATATTTCAGCACAATGGATATATTTCAGCACAATGGATATATTTCTATATTTCAGCACAATGGATATTTTTTTATATTTCAACACAATGGATATATTTCTATATTTCAGCACAACTGATATATTTCTATATTTCAGCACAATGGATATATTTCTATATTTCAGCACAATGGATATATATCTATATTTCAGCACAATGGATATACTTCTACATTTCAGCACAATGGATATACTTCTATATTTCAGCACAATGGATATATTTCTACATTTCAGCAAAATGGATATATTTCTATATTTCAGCACAACTGATATATTTCAATATTTCAGCGCAATGGATATATTTCTATATTACAGCACAATGGATATATTTCTACATTTCAGCACAATGGATATACTTCTATATTTCATCACAATGGATATATTTCTATATTTCAACACAATGGATATATTTTTATATTTCAGCTCAATGGATATATTTCTATATTTCAGCACAACTGATATATTTCTATATTTCAGCACAATGGATATATTTCTATATTTCAGCACAATGGATATATATCTATATTTCAGCACAATGGATATACTTCTACATTTCAGCACAATGGATATACTTCTATATTTCAGCACAATGGATATATTTCTATATTTCAGCAAAATGGATATATTTCTATATTTCAGAACAACTGATATATATATTTCTATATTACAGCACAATGGATATATTTCTACATTTCAGCACAATGGATATATTTCAGCACAATGGATATATTTCTATATTTCAACACAGTGGATATATTTCTATATGTCAGCACAATGGATATATTTCTATTTTCAAGCACAATGGATATATTTTACCACAATGGATATATTTCTATATTTCAGCACAATGGATATATTTCTATATTTCAGCACAATGGATATACTTCTATATATTTCAGCACAACTGATATATTTCTATATTTCAGCACAATGTATATGTTTCTATATTTCAGCACAATGGATATATTTCAGCACAATGGATATACTTCTATATTTCAGCACAATGGATATATTTCTACATTTCAGCAAAATGGATATATTTCTATATTTCAGAACAACTGATATATATATTTCTATATTACAGCACAATGGATATATTTCTACATTTCAGCACAATGGATATACTTCTATATTTCATCACAATGGATATATTTCTATATTTCAACACAATGGATATATTTTTATATTTCAGCACAATGAATATATTTCTATATTTCAGCACAACTGATATATTTCAGCACATTGGATATATTTCTATGTTTCAGCACAATGGATATACTTCTTTATTTCAGCACAATGGATATATTTCTATATTTCAGCACAATGGATATATTTCTATATTTCAGCACAATAGATATATTTCTATATTTCAGCACAATGGATATATTTCTATATTTCAGCACAATGGATATATTTCTATTATTTCAGCACAATGAATATATTTCTATATTTCAGCACAATGGATATATTACTATATTTCAGCACAATGGATATACTTCTATATATTTCAGCACAATGGATATATTTCTATATTTCAGCACAATGGATATATTTTATATTTCAGCACAATGGATATATTTCTATATTTCAGCACAATGGATATATTTCTATATTTCAGCACAATGAATATATTTCTATATTTCAGCACAATGGATATATTACTATATTTCAGCACAATGGATATACTTCTATATATTTCAGCACAATGGATATATTTCTATATTTCAGCACAATGGATATATTTCTATATTTCAGCACAATGAATATATTTCTATATTTCAGCACAACTGATATATTTCAGCACAATGGATATATTTCTATATTTGAGCACAATGGATATACTTCTTTATTTGAGCACAATGGATATATTTCTATATTTCAGCACAATGATATACTTCTATATTTCAGCACAATGGATATATTTCTATATTTCAGCTCAATGGATATATTTCTATATTTCAGCACAACTGATATATTTCTATATTTCAGCACAATGGATATATTTCTATATTTCAGCACAATGGATATATATCTATATTTCAGCACAATGGATATACTTCTACATTTCAGCACAATGGATATACTTCTATATTTCAGCACAATGGATATATTTCTATATTTCAGCAAAATGGATATATTTCTATATTACAGCACAATGGATATATTTCTACATTTCAGCACAATGGATATACTTCTATATTTCATCACAATGGATATATTTCTATATTTCAACACAATGGATATATTTTTATATTTCAGCACAATGAATATATTTCTATATTTCAGCACAACTGATATATTTCAGCACAATGGATATATTTCTATATTTCAGCACAATGGATATACTTCTTTATTTCAGCACAATGGATATATTTCTATATTTCAGCACAATGGATATATTTCTATATTTCAGCACAATGGATATATTTCTATATTTCAGCACAATGGATATATTTCTATATTTCAGCACAATGGATATATTTCTATATTTCAGCACAATGAATATATTTCTATATTTCAGCACAATGGATATATAACTATATTTCAGCACAATGGATATACTTCTATATATTTCAGCACAATGGATATATTTCTATATTTCAGCACAATGAATATATTTCTATATTTCAGCACAATGGATATATAACTATATTTCAGCACAATGGATATACTTCTATATATTTCAGCACAATGGATATATTTCTATATTTCAGCACAATGGATATATTTCTATATTTCAGCACAATGGATATATTTCAGCACAATGGATATATTTCTATATTTCAGCACAATAGATATATATCTATATTTCAACACAATGGATATATTTCTATATTTCAGCACAATGGATATACTTCTACATTTCAGCACAATGGATATACTTCTATATTTCATCACAATGGATATATATCTATATTTCAGCACAATGGATATATTTCTATATTTCAGCACAATGAATATATTTCTATATTTCAGCACAACTGATATATTTCAGCACAATGGATATATTTCTATATTTCAGCACAATGGATATACTTCTTTATTTCAGCACAATGGATATATTTCTATATTTCAGCACAATGGATATACTTCTATATTTCAGCACAATGGATATATTTCTATATTTCAGCTCAATGGATATATTTCTATATTTCAGCACAATGGATATATTTCTATATTTCAGCACAATGGATATATTTCTATATTTCAGCAAAATGAATATATTTCTAAATTTCAGCACAATGGATATATTTCTATATTTCAGCACAATGGATATATTTCAACACACTGGATATATTTCAGCATAATGGATATATTTCTATATTTCAGCACAACTGATATATTTCTATATTTCAGCACAATGGATATATTTCTATATTTCAGCACAATGGATATATTTCTATATTTCAGCACAATGGATATATTTCTATATTTCAGCACAATGGATATACTTCTATATTTCATCACAATGGATATACTTCTATATTTCAGCACAATGGATATATTTCTATATTTCAGCACAATGGATATATTTCCATATTTCAGCACAATGGATATATTCCTATATTTCAGCACAATTGATATATTTTTAAATTTTCAGCACAATGGATATATTTCTATATTTCAGCACAACTGATATATTTCTATTTTTCAGCACAATCGATATACATTGTATTTCTATATTTCAGCACAATGGATATATTTCTATATTTCAGCACAATGGATATATTTCTATATTTCAGCACAATGGATATATACAAATTAGTTTTACTGATTAGCTTGATGGCGACTGATATGTACGCTGCAGATTCTTGTGCAACAGTGAATCAAAATTGCTCTTTATTCGAGTTGAATACAGACCTGGTATCGGTACAAAATTTGACAGATAAGGTAAAATTATAAAAACAAACCCAAATATAGCAAATTTAAACAAAACTTTTTTCTACTATTTAAAGATATACTATGCTTATCATTGAGTGAAATATTTCAATCACAGACAATTTTTGAAATCTATGTCTTTTTAAATAAAAGAATGAATAAACTACGTATGGGAAGCTGCGTTCCCTATACGAAGTCAAGCAAAGTTGGTTTCTTAATAACAAAAAAGCCACTTTTTTTTTAATGAACTATATATTCATATTATGATCACCTTTTATGAAGTCAAAACATGTTTATTTTTATATTTACAAAGAGACTGTATAGCAATAACCAATAATCTATAATATCAAATTGAGCAAATATATCTTTAAATGAAGTAGAACATCATGAAATATTCATAGATGCGACCATATTTCTGTAACATTAGTAAAATACTGTTCAACGGTTCAACAAATTACTTTTAAAAATATGTTTCGTTCTTTAATGAAGCAAAAATAGATATTGTAATAGGAATAATACGTACAAACATACAAGATATTATAGGATATCTATAAATAGGACCATATACACAGATATATAAGACGTCAATAGATATGTACAAATCTAACATATAACGTCAAAAGTTTGGTACAAGCATTAACAGATATATGACGCCAATGGGTAGCTACAAATATTGCAAACGTAATACGGATAAGTGCACAGTTAATGTCTTAGCTTAAGCACTAAATACTTCCTTTGTGAATCTTAGTCAGTGAATTGATTTGGCTCAGGCTTCTAGAGAGTTGTTGCTTTGCTTACACTGTAATTATTTTGTGTTACTTCTTTACATGCAATTACACTAACAGGATGTGACGTCAGATGAATGGTTTATGGTTTACGGATCGGACTTCACTGCTGTTCAAACGTATGGAAGGTGTATTTACAAATGGACACCTTCAGAACAAAGTAGCGTAATAGAAAGGCAACTTATGTGCTAGTAGGTATTTTAACTGAAATCCTTAGAATTTAAGCATTCACTTTGTTAAATTATTGTACCACGCCATTATAAAGATAATTGATCTCACGGTACCTTAAAAATCTGCGTTTGCCGAAAACCAATTGTAGTATATTTTCGAACCCATGGCGGTTTAAGACGATTATAACGAGAATGTCATCGGCTTAATCCCGTAGCGATGGATGCATTGTAGGCCTCCTTGTCCTTACAGTGACCGATCAGTATAAAGCGACCTACACATTCTAAAGGAAGCTGCGAAACTCTTAATATATAGTATCGTATATTTTTTTATAATGTTGTCTTTTTACACTTTCAGCAATTTTAAACTGAAGAAATGTGAAAAATTTTTATTCAGAGGTCACGTGGTTCGATGACGAATGTGGAAGAGCTAAAGAACTAAACGGTACGTAATTGACAGAATAAAAAAATAACGGTATTTATTACTGTATGCGATCACACTTGGCTGACGCCGTGCAAGCAGAAAGGTCGTTAAAACAGCTAGATTTATAACTGAACAATTTAAACCATTTCTCTTGCCAACTAATATTTAGTTAGAGCACGAGGCTTTTTCTGGTCCTTCGTGATCATTGATACCGGCACTATTAAGTGTTGAGAATTGGGTACAAGTCAAGTCGGTGCTAGTGGGCATGAGGGAAGTTGCGCGTATTCATAATCCTCAATTACAGACTCAATCAAACCGAGTCTGCAATTTTTACGTAATTTTGTTGTGATTAATGCTTCCGACTATCGTTCAAAATCTAAAATGACTTTTCTGGAGGACTGATCCATATGAGCAACCGATAGCGAGTATAAATAAACTCACGCACACGCACACATACCCACTGTCAGAATAATCATGAAGTTTATATGTAGATATGTATTTTACAACGAGTTAATATTTCCCTACAGTGATATATTGTTGTAGATGAAACAACGAGTTAATATTTCTTTACAGTGATACATTGTTCCCTGCGGGCCGGAGCCCGCAGGGTATTGGTACGCGTTTAATTTTTGAGGCATGGAGGAGCATGTGACCTGTTTTCGGTACATGGAGGAGCATGTGATCTCTAAACCGTATATGATAGGTTAATTGACATATTCGAAAACCTAGCTAAATACCGTTTCCCGGTACGTTACGGATTTACCACTAGACAAATGACCGTTTCCCACCGAATTACACCTAATTAAGAACATAACACTATTACGTGATATTTCTAATTTTCATTTATTACCTTACCGTTTAAGGTGGAAAAACTTGCAAGATGTGTTTAAAAATTATCAATGTTTCTTTAATAAAAAAAATAAATTGTTTATAGTGAAAATCCACAGAATTAATACATTCGTTTGTGGCATCTGCCATAATAGATAGAGATATTTTCTGCGTAAACTAGTGTGTTTACTTTATTTTATTGTATTATTTTTTTGCACGGAATTATTCATACAATGTTATTTATTCATTTTCTTAAACGTAAATATTGTTTTATTTTCGACCAAGACCAAATACCTTCTTCTATTGATTGATTATTGTCAACTACAGTATATTGCTGATACATTGTACAACGTTATTTGTTTTTCTTTTTTCCCCCAAACAATGTTAAAACTAGTTAAATGAAATATCTTTTAATCATTGTAAATGTTCCCCGCAAGAAACCATTTTACTTGTTTTGAATAGAGTGTAAATATCATGTTTAAACCAGTCGCTGTATGTATACATGTTTAAAGGTCAGATCGTTTAAGCTAGCAAATATGCCCGTTTTGAGAGAGATTTTACATCAGTTAGAGAGAAAACGTGATAGTGTGAAAGGGGTTATTTTTTGGGAAAGAAAAATTTTTGTTTTTTTGAAGGGGATTTTTTTTTTTAAAAGTCAGTTTTTTGGGTTTTTTTGAAGTGTGAATAAAATTTTGTGGTGATTTTAAATTATCGGGGTTTTTATTGGTTTAAATTATTGTTTTGGTGTTTATAATATATTGTGAAAAAAATTTTATTTAAATTTTGGGTTTGGAGGGTTTGAAATTTTCAAGATTATTTTATTTGCTCTTTTTTTGAGTATATGAAAATATTGGGTTTTATTTTAAAGTGTTAAACTGTTGTGAAAAATTTTTTGAAGTTAAATTTTTGGGGAATGAATTTTTGGTTTTATATTGTATCTTAAAAGTTTTTAAAGATATTCATTTTTGTTTTTTTTCATTTTGTGGGTATTTTTTTTTTTGTTGACTTTAAGTTGTTTAGAGCTTGGGCTCGCTAGATGTCTTGTTGCGCATAAAAGACGTATACGTGAAAAGATATTTCGTATAAGTGGCTGATAAATGATGTGAGTTTGTTTTGGGTGTAAATAATGATCAAAGTTCTTTCTTTTGTGTGTAAATAATGATCTGAGTTTGTTGTTTAAAAGTATATATTGATTTGAGATAGAAAATGATAAAAATACCTAAAAAAATAGTGCTAACTAAATAATTACATGCAAGTTTTCCAACTGAGAATATTTCAGTTTTATGTCAGGCGGTGCTGCCCAGCCTCCATATCTTGGAAATTGGTTCTAGTATTTATTACTAAATCTTTTTCTTAGATTAAATAACATTAAGGCAGTCATTTCTCTTGACACACACGCACGCACACACACACGCACGCACGCACCAACACACGCGCGCACACACACGCCCGCACACAGAAATCATATTTATGACATTTTATTGATATGTTTATCATATTTTGTTTTTAGGTAATAATACAATGATGGGAAAGTTTTACACCCAAGATCCTCGTCAGTATTTATTCTATTACACGTGCTACTATTCTACAGACCCGGATATTTGTGACGTCGACTATCTTGATATTATACTCCGAAAAAAACAACACAAAGGTAAGTTTCATCTGTACAGATGTTTTTTAAACTTAAACTTATCTATGTGTAGCTCATTTTGCTAATGAACTAATATAGATCCATTAGAAAAAGCCCCATAATATTACAATATTGAATTACGGGTCGGAAATACAGGGGCCCATTGAAAAACCCATTTATTCAAAGAATCCATCTATTAACATTTTTAAATCAGTAATTTTGATGTAAGGCAACACAATTGTAAACGGTAATATTGGGTGAGTGAAATTGAAATGGAATTTCCTTTCATCGGCTTTTATATAAATTGTACACTAAATAACCAAATCAACTACAAACTAATGGAAGGTCTATTGTGTACGTATGTTGCTGCCATTTGTTCTTTAAGTATAGTTTTAAGCAAAATAAAAACCTAACTTAATGAAATGCATCAAAAATATTTTCAACAAATTTCTGCTTCTGTACCCAACTGTATACATTTATTAATTTTTGGATACAGACAAACAAACGGACGGACGGACAAATAGGCAATAAACAGGCACACTGTTTTACATTTGAAATTCGTATTAATTGTCAATTCGTGGACTCTTTTTGTAATGAAAAATATTTATTTATTTATTCATCTATCTATCCATTTTTATTTATTGAATTTAGTAGCATTTATTCATGTTCACATATATTCAACAACATAAACATAAAAAGAAATCACAAACATGAACAGCCATTCTATACAAAAGTTTCAAAAGATGTTCTAAGCATTTTAAAATGATTCAGTTGATAGGAATAATATACACCTGGAAATGGAATGAAATTGAGCCTAAGAAATAATAATTTGAAAAGTAGCGATACCAATTTAGTAATCATAAACAAATAAATGTATGAGTTTTAGTTAATTCTTAACCAAATTATTGAAGCATAAGCAAATGTGTGTGTTTTTTTAATATAATCCAAGTGTCACCTAGGGCGAGCCATATTTTACCCCAGGGAAAAGTTGTAGGGGATACATGCCAACTATCTAAGCTCAGGGCATTTAAGTTAATTAGAAACTGCTGGGGCCTAAATAAACAACACACTGGAACCAGTTACATAACGTGTGTACAGGACCAGCTAAAGATTATTCATGTGAAGTTTGGTGAAAATCAATCCAGTGGTTCTGGGGACATGTTGTTAAAAGAAATTGTTGACAGCGACGAAATCTGACACACTGTCGTCACAAACGCCCAATTCTTGCCACTCTGTGCACATGCGTGCTTTGAAAATGACATATAAGAGCAAAAGATGGGATAATTTATTCATTAAATATTGTAGATTCCGCGACTAATGAACTTGATTTGGGGCAAGTTCCGTGGCATATGATAGCTGCAGATTTGAAGAATATCTATAACATGGAGTTTACCAATGACAAAGTTATGTTTCAAGCTAAAGGACCAGGTAATAACTTTGAAAATGAGTAAAAAATGTATATGCTCTAAATGTTGTTTCAGCTCAAAACAAAATAGGGGTCTTAAAGGAATATTTTGATCTGGTCCTCAACTATCTGATAAGACAATATAGGTTGCTTGGAAATTGATGTGTTTCGCTTTCTATCTTGTATTTTTTATTATAAACCCGTGCATTGTGTACACCGGTCTTACTGACGATATTTGAGAGATCGGTGTGTATACAATGCACACCCGTGCCGATTTTGAGACTCCGTAAATATGGTATTGTCAATGTATTTGTACCGTAAATATGGTATTGTCAATGTATTTGTACCGTAAATATGGTATTGTCAATGTATTTGTACCGTAAATATGGTATTGTCAATGTATTTGAAATATTTGTTTTTTATTCTACAGTTTGCGATTTTAATGGAAACATTGTAACAAACGCTGCTGGACGATGGAGACTTGAACAGTTTGTATTGCTGATTGTTTTGCTGCCGATTTACATTTACAGTATCCCTATGTATTATTAAAATATAAATACTCCGACAGAATGACTAAATGGCAAACAGATGAAATGTTTGATTAAAAAATGTTAGATAAACTTACATGCGTGTGTCTGTGTGTGTGTGTGTGTATAATTCATAGCGCAATTGACAAAATTACAAGATATATTTGTTGCTCTTACCTAATGTAGTAATTCAAATGTGCGCTTGAATAGAGAACGAGGTTCATTTCCGTAAAGGTACATTATAAAATAAGGCGCATACTTGAAGCATTACTGATTCATTATTTTCCTGTTAATTCCATCTGTAAGAAATACCAGTACAATAAAAATATACAATTTAAAAGGTAATTGTCTTAACTTAGTTAATATGATTTGGTCCTACGAATTTATTACATAGCACTTGCCTGCGAGAAATGTTACTATTTTTCAGATTTTAATAAGAGTTTGTTTTATCAACTATATACATGTATAACCACTGAATTTACTTGTTTCAACTACTTATTCAACTTCCGAAGACTTCTTTTTTTCCTACCAGTTCTAGGCTTTTCATCAATCATATTACTTTGAACATACTTCAGTTTTCATTGTTCACATGCATATTTATCGAGACCATTATTTTCACGCATTACAGCTGTAAATAAGCAAACGAGCACGACAGAAGTTCAGTATGTGCATCCGTTTCTTTAAATGCTTATAAGAATGCAAAACAAAACGCCTCCCATAATTGTATTTTTGACATAGTTCTATTTGACATATAATTGTATTGTTGACATTGTTGTATTTTTGACATAAAAACACCGCTGTATTGAACCTCTTATTTGCAGTCATGACTTTAGTTAAACAAAACGTTGTTTTTTTTGGTCGGCTAATACCCTATATTCCGTAAGGCGTATAATAGACTTTTCCAATAATCTAGTACATTTCAAGCATAGTGCTAGAAGAGCATATGTTACCTTCGTGAAATACTATTGTATGTGCACGAAAAAAAGGTATTTATAGAATGTATATGTTCGGTTGTTATATATTCCTGTCATCTTATGAAAACCCAATTTATGTTTTAAAACCACGTGTCTAACAAATTACCGGTCAATTAAAAGCTTTACTTTAGTTAACTAAGGATTTGGTTTGAAAAGAGCAAAAATTGTGTTCTTATATCATTAAATCAATCCATCATATCAGGCACTATTTATACTTTATAACTCTGTCGATTTTTTCCAAATCTACGGCCTTTTGTTTTAGAGAGTAGAATATGTAATCTAAGTTGATTCAGAATTTATATGGGATTAGTAGCCGGTTTCTTGTAGAGAAATTGGGTAAAAACTGTTATCGGAAACCCGTTGAGACTCTTTTATGAGGTGGACTTGCCGCCGAAATATGACACACATTTGTAGAAAAGGCGTACAATTAATCAAACAAACACACAAATAAAGCATTATATTTATATTGGATTTTAAATTTAATTTTCTAAATTTTGACTTGTACCACGTGTTTGCCTACTGGTATGGTTTCTCCATCTGTTTACCCACCAACATATAATCCTGTATTGTGTTCGTACGTCATTTTAAAATAACATGTTATTATAAATATCTAAAATGGGTGATGCATACATACGAGTTAAGGTTAAGGAAATATAAATAAAACATTTAAAAAAATATTTTGCAGATTTTCTATCCAGTCGCTTTCTTAATATTTCTAAATATGAAACTATAGTTTTCAAATAGCATAATTCTTTTAAATCAATTCTATAAGACATGCACACACACACGCACACGCGCACACGCACACGAACGCACACACACACACACACACACGCACACGCACACGCGCACGCGCACACGCACACGCACACACGCACACGCATACGCGCACACGCGCACACGCACACACACACGCACACACACACACACACACACGCACACACACACACGCACACGCACGCTGTAACACACGCACGCAGAGAGAATTATATGTTACTTAAACCTTAAAGGAAAAAAAACAGCAGAAAAAAATATGCTTGCTTTTTTAAATCAGTCAGTCATGATCTCATTTAGTGAATATTATAAAGGGAAATTGAATTATATATTTTAGAGATTAGTATTGTTATATGTGGCGGCATTTGGAATGAATCAACAAAGAGGGACAAAAAAAGAATAGTGTTACCATGACTCTAATCTATCTTGTTTATATTTTTACACCACTATTACGACATTTGGACATAGATACACAATTGCATATAGGAAAATAAATTATCATCAACATATAACATTTATTTGATATTAATGAATTACAAATTGCTAAAAACCGATCGCGCTCTTTTAAACACATAAACGTGGCACCCCTAGTTTCAGACAGGAAATTGAAATATCATCAAGATATGAACATTATTAGACGCACCCAATTATTTTCATTAACATATATTTGATTATTCAATATGGGAAGAGCATTTTATTCATAATAATGAATTATAAATTGCTAGGAAATGCCAAATTCAAAACGAAATGGCATTTACATCTGGTTATTACGAGTCATATTAATCTCTCACTTGGATTTGATCGAGCGGCGCAACAAGTTACTCCGCAGATTCATTCCAATTTTTGGTGAAGACTTCTTTTTAACGTAATATGCCGGATTGAGTGTGAAATTTAACAATCATATCAAGCCATCATGGCTTTGAAGTGGTTTTTCATTTTTATTTTTATCAGCTATTTGAATACAGGTAAGTCGTTTATTATATTAATTAGATAGTATACTTTAAGTTTAGCTTGTCATAATTTGTATATTGTTTGGTAGGCAAATGACAGAAAAGGAGGACGAACGCGGAACGTTTGCCTAAACTACCTTTTTTCTACGATTTTTCTTGATTTGATTTATATTTTATGTCCGCGTGCTTCCTTGACTGACATCTGTCTTACATTGAGACTTTCTGCATTCGTTTTCCAAACTTCTTATTGTTTATCATTATGTTTCATTGAGCTATTTTAAACCCAAAACTATTTATAACATGTATTTTCAATAATCATACAAATCAATAGATTCTGATTCTGTACTTTCGATTTACCCCTTATCCTAGGCCTGGCCGAATCCTGGCATGAACCTTATATCTGCTAATTAAATGCTATAACAACTCCAACTTAGAAATTATTAAAGTTTATTAAAACACCGTATAAAGATATAAACGTGCACGCAAAGTAATAAAAAAATCAAACAAATCAGACGGCTTTATTTGACAAATTAACATGATAGTTAAATATAAGATATGTCAAGTCCGCGTACTGCAATCTTTTCAACACTATTTTATTGCAAATGCCTGGCAATAATAAACAATTTTTCTAAAAGCGTAACACCTATTGATTGGCGTCCGCGCCGAAGCGCGGCGCCCTTATGGAATGAAATCAGAGTTTGTCAATGGGCGACAGCAACTTCTCGAGCCTTTTAGTCGGTTATAATAAAAGCCGATCATTCCGATCGGTATGAGGGTGCTTGATTAAAAAAATGCCTCGATATGTACAATGAATAGCGAACTGGAGAATTTTGCAATGCATGAAATAACCTTTTCCGTCTCTTCGTTTTTTTTATCATTTTGTAGTACACAGTGGGTTATTATGGTATGTTAAAATAGAATGATGAGGTGATGACCTAAACATTCCGAAAATCTATTTATAGAGGGATGCACTGCTATCGGTAATTCCCGGTCTCTCCCGGTCTATTTTGACCGGGATTTACTAGTGACCGGCGAATAGTATCACACGTTTATTTTCCAGTCTCTACCGGTTTTGGAGTAGATGTTTGATATCGTTACAGAACAGAACAAAAAATTTCCAGATAAAAAAGTTTTTTTTCCCCAAATGAATGTTTGTCAATTACTTTGGTTACAATAATTAATAAACACAGATCAACTCTCAAATTTATTGATTATTATTATACATAAACATACAATTCGAAAAAAAAAAACAACAATAGCATGTTTCATTTTATCTATATGAGATAAAAACAATAAATATGTGCAATAATTGAGAAAAAGGTACATGTTTATGGTATTAATATGACACTATCAACTTTGAAACATTTTATTTAATTTGTTATTCGTGTTTAGTAAAGATGCCGAGGAATTATTCAAAGTTACAAATTAGATTTTATGAATTATTCAATTGATTGATAATTTAAAAAATGATAAAGAAAAATACAAATGTACATGTACATTGTTTAAAAATAAACACTATTATATATTGAAAGATTAAGCATAATTTACTGACTTTCTTCCAGTTAAGTTTTGACTTATAATCGTCGGTCAATATGACAATTGAATTCTTAAAATTTATTTTACAATTTTGATAAAAAAAGAGTATTACACGTAAAAACTCAGTATTAAAATAGCACATAAAACACAAAAAAAGAGAGGAAAACAATATTCATAAAATCTGTATTTCTAATATTAAAATAAATATTACAGTTTTTGTATAATACACAATTATGCTCAACATGATCAACATGATAATATAACCAGTGTCATATTTTACTAAGTGTGAACAGATACCTTAATTTAGAAGGGGTCTTCGCTAATAGCGATAACATAATACGAGACAATTCCACAAGTGTGGTGTTTATCATGCGTTACACATATGGATTATAAATGATGGTATACATGTATATCCATTGCTATTAATAATCACGATCATAAAGACATAACAAGTAATATTCTAATCTCTAGCATGCCAATCAAAGTTCATAATGAACAATGTCTTTCGTCCGTTCATTCTGGTAAAAACAAATAAAAAAACATTGAAAAGTTTATAAGAATATCTTGTCATCATATGTCTACTAGTTCATCTTCACTTTCTGCATTTCTTGCTTGGACGCCCTTTGATGCTTTGCATCAATACTTTTCTTGTATACAAAGTGTAATAAGATCGGTACTAGGGTATAGGGGAATCTCATGTAGATTTTTCATCAGCATAGAGTAAAACTTTGCTTAGTCTTTATTATCTCTTTAACTTAGTTCCAAATTGTACCTAAAACAATACTTCACTGAAAAAATGAACATTCACAAAGGAAGTACTGGTATGTGTTCTAAAACTTTACACATTTTTAATGACTGTCAATCAAAAATGTTCGATACATTTTCCGGATATTTTATTGTCGATATATAACACCGAAGGTACTGTTTGGCAATATAGACCTGAGACTGATTTATTGTCGAAGTTTTTTACGTTAGTCTCTTTGTTAGTTTTCTGTAATTTATTACGATTAACCAATTGATTTTAATAATATAGTTTCCAATAATAAATTCACAATCACGGCTTGATGTTCTAGTAAGTATTATAGCATAATAGTCGCGCAGTTGCAAGTTCAAATCCTTGACAAACTTTTTTTCTTCAGATTTTTTTTAATATTGTATGCAACATTGGCGATAAATCATTTGTTTAATTTCTGTTTTTTTCCCCAAATATATATAATTTACAACGTCAAGCTATAAAAAGATAACAGAAAAAGCAATATTGAAAATAATGTTTCCTTGAAATTTAAACCTACAATCTTAAACTTATAAGTGAAAATCTTAAATGCTTGTCACTGAGGCTAGTTAGGCAAATGCTATGACAGTACCTTAAAGTAAAATGTGTTGAAGCGTTAAAGTAAGAAGGTCACTGCCTTAATATACATGTGTAAATGGTTTGTACATCATCATTACGTTCAAGAGTGCTATATGTATTTTAACAGTAGATTTTATTACTGTTTAACGACTAAATTTCGTAAACTAATTAAATCAGTATTATGCAGACGCTTGAATCTGCCTCTACACTGATTAAGAGTTATCTACTGAAAACGTCTGCATAACCCCGATTAAATAACACATTAGGGGGCAGGGGACCTAAAAATGAACAATTTTGTATTACAGACAGATAGATAGATAGATAGATAGATAGATAGATAGATGATAGATAGATAGATAGATAGATAGATAGATAGATAGATAGATAGATAGATAGATAGATAGATAGATAGATAGATAGATAGATAGATAGATAGATAGATAGATAGATAGATAGATAGATAGATAGATAGATAGATAGATAGATAGATAGATAGATAGATAGATAGATAGATAGATAGATAGATAGATAGATAGATAGATAGATAGATAGATAGATAGATAGATAGATAGATAGATAGATAGATAGATAGATAGATTATTCATATAAGACGTGTACAAAATGCACATGGTCACAAAATACATACATTCAAATATAATTAAACATCACGTAATCATCAAAGTTAACATTATTTAGTAGCAAAGTGTCATACAATGATAAAACTACATCTTTGGACTGCATTAACAAAACATGGAGAATGAAAAGAAATAAAGTAATATTACTAACAAGATAACATTTTTATAATTATGTCTGAAGATTCGGTTGATTTAATTCCCTGCGTTTAAATGCTTGTGCTATAAAATTTCCCAAATTTAGCAAGACTTTTTTCTTTTTAGAACTTAATAAATCAATAAATTTGTACATGCTCGTATTTTTCACATAATATTTTGGTATGAATTTGTTTCTCAGGTCAGAATATTCTTTGCATGTGGTTATAAAATGAAATTCATCTTCTATGTCATTACCGCAGAAATAACATAATCTTTCATTTCTTGGTTTTCGATTACGCCCATGTCTAAGAGATTCTATAAATAAATTATGCGACGATACGCGCAATCTAGTTATGCTATTACGTATTTTAAACGAATTTATTTTAATCAAGTAATCCGATATACCAAAGCTCGGTTTTAAATGTATGTACAAGGATTTCAGTATTTCATTTTTCTCAATGTCTCCAGATAGTTTCTGTAAGGCACAATCCGTTACTGTTTTCTTGAACAAATTTACAAATAATTTGGAATTTATGTTTTCATGATTTAAAAACACAGAGCTAAAACCATAATCATCAAGCAGTTTTTTAACATGGAAAACCCAATTCTTTCTACCATTATAATACTGCGCTAATGAATGTGCATAAACTGATTTTAATAGCATATTATCCGTATTGATAATCTTGACCCAGTATTTAATAATATGTACAAAACGAAATACATATAAAGGATAGCGACCCAATTCTGCATATATAGCTGCGTTACTTATCGATTGTTTTACACCAAGGATTGTTTTGCAAAACTGTAGATGAATACGTTCTAATTCACAAGACTTAGTAAACCCCCAAATAGGACAACCATAATTTAATATCGATCCTACGAATGCATCAAAAAGTTGCAATGAAATATCCGGACGAATGTTATATCTTTTGATATTATTTAACAATGTGTGCATCGCCCTAAGTGCTTTGCCTTTTAGACATTTTATATTTAAAGCGAAAGTACCAGTGTAATTCAACGTTATTCCCAAATAATTGAAATCATCAACAATTTCTAACTGTTCATCATTATAAATGAAATGTTCATTTGTTTTAACTGGCCCTCGTTTCCTAAAAACAACAACTTTGGTTTTTGCAGTGTTTACCTCTAACCCCCATTTTTCACAATATTCGCGTAAAGAATTCAGTCTCGATTGTAAATCTTCTACAGAATCGCCACATATTACCATATCATCCGCAAATAACAAAATTACAAGACAAATTTCATTAATGGTTAGGCCAGTTGTATTATCTTGCGGCAAAAACGATTCTTCAATAAATAAGGGAAAAAATGTGGCCAGAAACACAATTCCAAATATT